AAGAAAAGAAAAGAAAAGAAAAGAAAAGAAAAGAAAAAAAAGGAGAAAAGGAGAAAAGGAGAAAAGGAGAAAAGGAGAAAAGGAGAAAAGGAGAAAAGGAAAGAGGAAAAGGAAAGGCAACAGGAAAGGCAACAGGAAAATTAAAGAGGAAAAGGGGTTAAGAAAAAGAGAAAGGGGAAAGGGAAAAGGCAAAGGAGTTAAGGGAAAGGAAAAATAAAATGGGAAAGGGAAAAGAAAAAAGGGAAAAGAAAGAGTAAAAGGGAAAGGAAAATAGAAAAAGGCAAAGGAAAAAGAAGAAGGGAAAAGCAAAGGAGAAGGAGGTCTCCACATGCCCTCCTCACCTGAGGAGCCTGTGGCTCTTTTCCCAGGCAGCCCCGGGCCCAGCCCGGCAGTTCTGGGCTCCCTCAGCAGATGGTGGTGCTGCACTGCTCATCCTCTGCCTCCTCTCCACACGCCGGGAAAGTCATTTCCAGGCCCAGGCATTCAATTCTCCGCTCATGAAATATATTTAAAGGCCTCAGCTCCTGCTCTAATGCTCACCCAGGGAATTTCTGGGCAGGATGTTCTCATCTCACCTCCTTGGCAATGGTTTCGGGCCAGGCAGGAGCAGACAAACGGCCTCAGTGGCAGATTTATGTGCCAAGGGAGGAAAGGTGAATATGTTTGGGATTTATTTCCCCTCCCTGCCGTAAATCTCTGTGTCCTGAACCAATGATGGCATCACTTTTGGGGTTTAGAAAAGAAATCATGGGGCAAAGTGTCAAAAGTTTAAGGAAACAGAAATGATGGAATAAAAGAGATCCCGCTGTGAGTGGCCTTTGCAGCAGCTCCCCTGTGCCTGGAGATGAATTTCCAGCCAGCTTTGCCTGGTTAGTCCAAGAACTATCTCCCTGTCCCTGCAGGTAGAACACACAGGGAGAGGCCGTGGGGAGGTGCCCCACTGGCAGAATCCCGTGGGAGGAGGAGAGGGGGGACCACAAAGAGCTGAACATCCCCCAGAGCTCTGAGAAAGCTCCAGGCAGGGGTTTGGGTGCCTGGGGCCAGCCCAGGGTTGGATGAGAGCTGGAGAGCTGAGGACAAACACTCCTGGCTCCCTCCCTCCCGCCCCCAGCCCAGCGCCCTGCCCTGCTGACGCAGAGCAGAGCCAGCTGCAGGGCTCAGGGACACTTGTTTGAGGTTCCAATTAGATCTCTGGACCAGGGACACTCACATCCTCTCCTGAGAACAGGGAACCATAAATCCAGAGAGGATTCATCCACCAAGGCAGCGGCTCCGGCTCCGATGGGTGGCAGGGTAAGGGACCATTTTCCTCTGCTCCTCACACAAGGTTTGCAGGGAGAGGGGCCAGGGTTTGTGGTGGAGGTGTTAATCTACGTGTCTTTATTGCCTCTGCTCCCTTACTCTTCCTCTCTCTCTCATTTTTGCATCTCTGTGTTCTTCTCTGGCGTTAATTCTGTTATTTGGTGTTTACTTGGAGGCACCGGGAGAACCAGCCCTGTTTCCCAGCTCGGTGACACTCACATTTGGTGATAAAGCATTTGGAGTGTTTGCTTTTTAATAATTAAAAACTGACAACTGTCACTGCCTGGGATTCCAGGAAACCACAGGGTTTTTTTGGGAAGAGGGATAGTTCAGGCTCAGCTCCATTAATTTTGCCACTCAGTCCCTTGTTCCCAAGAGCTGTGAGAGCGTTTATGGTTAATTGGTTGGCTTAATGCAAGTTTATGATGGGTATTTTTGGTGTGAGCAGTGTTCCCTCAGCCCTGATCTCCCTCACTTGCATCAGGCTTTGAAGTCCTGGATCTTGCCCTGACATTTCAATTAGGTCAGATAAAAAGACATGGAAGGTAAAATGAATTTCCTTTGAGGCCGAATTTAATCTCCAAAGAACAAACATGGAATAAAAGATGTCGAGATTACCTCAGATAAGATGGAGGCTTGATCTGTGCCTGGAGTCTTTGGGAGGAGACCGAAAGGATGCCTTGAAGCAGGTACAAGATGTCTCAGGAGAGGGGAAATGGTTTTGGAGCACACCTCCAGCTGCGAACTTAAAAGCAAGCCTGATGAAAACATGGGCTTTGACAGCGAAGCTGGTGGTCCCAGCTCCCAGGGAAAGCACACAGGTTCTGGGAATGGCACCCAGCTCCCAGGGAAAGCACACAGCTTCTGGGAATGGCACCCAGCTCCTGGGGAAAGCACACAGGTTCTGGGAATGGCACCCAGCTCCCGGGGAAAGCACACAGGTTCTGGGAATGGCACCCAGCTCCTGGGGCCACACTCGGTGCCCCCGGGAGCTGCTTTCCCGAGGGAGCAGCCGGGAGCTGTGGGAGGAGTGACCCGGAGTGTTCTCTTTAAAGGTGCTCAGAGCCCCTCACCCCTGAGCCCAGGAGCCCCCCGGAGCCCCGGCCATGCCCCTGGCTGTGCCCTCAGCCCCCCAGCACCCCCCCCAGCGCTGGCTGGCCCAGAGCAGGGGGTCCCCGAGGCTGGTGCTGGTGGTGGTGTTCGTGGCACTGCTGCTGGACAACATGCTGCTGACCGTCGTGGGTAGGGGGGCTCTGGGGGGGCTGCCCGGAGGGGATGGGGCTGGGTCTTTGGGGGGGCTGCTCGGGGGTGCAGTGTGGGGTTCTCTGAGGGTACAGCAAAGGGAGGGGTCCTTTGGGGGCTGCCTCGGGGGCACAGCGTGGGGTTGGGTTCTTTGGGAGCCGCTCAGGGGACTCTTCAGGGGTTGCCTTGGGGGCACAGTGAGGGGATGGGTTCTTCAGGGGTTGCCTTGGGGGCACAGTGAGGGGATGGGTTCTTCAGGGGTTGCCTTGGGGGCACAGCGAGGGGATGGGTTCTTCAGGGGTTGCCTTGGGGGCACAGTGAGGGGATGGGTTCTTCAGGGGTTGCCTTGGGGGCACAGAGAGGGGATGGGTCCTTGGGGGGCTGTCCCGGGGTCTCAGCTCCTCTGTGGGTCTCTGGGCGATGCCAGCGGGGTCCCTGCTCAGGGCTGGGTGCTGGGAACTCAGCTTGGCTCTGTGCCGAGCCAGGAAACGGAGGAAAATCCCCAACTAATCCCTTCCCCGGCTTCTCCCCCAGTGCCCATCGTCCCCACCTTCCTCTACACCACCGAGTACGAAGGTGCCAACAGCTCCGTGGTCACAGCCCAGCCCGAGCCAGCTCCTCCAGCCCTGAAGGCTCCTCCTTTCTCCTCCTTGTTCTCCTACTTTGGCAACACCACGGTGCCTGTCCGGGGCTCTGACAGCCCCCCAGAGGTGCCCAGTGGGACGGAGAGCAGCCTCCCAGCACGGCCCCCCAGCAGCCCCCCAGCACCCTCGAGGGGCTGCCCGGAGGGGGACGACTTCCTCACCAGGGAGAACGTCCGTGTGGGGCTGCTCTTTGCCTCCAAGGCTCTGGTCCAGCTGCTGGTCAACCCCTGCGTGGGCCTCCTGACCAACAGGTAGGTCACAGAGATGGGTTTGTGGCCCCTTGGGGACAGGCAGGAACAGCCATGGGGCTGAGCTGCTGCAGCTGTGGGATTAGAGGAACTGGGGAGAATGTATCCATGAAAATAGCAGGAATTGTACCTGTTCTGAAAGCCTGCCTGTGGTTTGTGAGTTTATATCCCGATCTAAACCTCACTAATGCTCTCCTCAGGTGCTGGCAGGTGCTGTTTGGTGCCAGTAAGCACCAAGCAAACAAAGACAGCCTCCCAGCCCGCCATGGTATAATGCTGTTTTCAGATCTCCTTGGCCTGTGTCTCCTGCAGACACTGTGAGCTGAGCTGGGGTGGGAGAACAGAGCCATAGCTTTGGGTGGGCTCTGCAGGGGGGCACGGGGTGCTCCCCTGACCAGCCCTCGGGGGCTCACCCACCCGTTCAGGAGACACTTCCCAGCCCACAGAGAGCTGTGTGTTAAGGCTGGGCAGCGAGGCCACATGTCAAAGCTCTCGCTGAGCTGGTGCCTCTTTTGTTCCCTTTCCAGGATAGGATACCACATCCCCATGTTCGTGGGGTTCTCCATCATGTTCCTCTCCACAGTCAGTGAGTACTGCCCTTCCCTCTGCCCTTCCCTGGCACCAGGAAATCCTCTGGGCTGTGCCCTCCCTGCTGCCCCCGAGGAGGAGAAAGGAGGGAGAGCAGAGCAACCCAGAAAGGAGTGACGAGAAAGGACGAGGAGCCCTCTGTCCCTTTGCCCCCTCCAGCACCCAAAGTGGTGCCAGCTGAGGCCAGTCTCACCCTCTGCAGGGTTTTCAGGCCCAGCCTGATGCAGCTCTCCCCTCTCTCTGCAGTGTTTGCTTTCTCAGGCACCTACACCCTGCTGTTCATCGCCCGGGCCCTCCAAGGCGTGGGCTCCTCCTTCTCGTCAGTGGCAGGTAAATGTTTCAGCTTTGTCCCCGTGTCAGCTCCCCCTGTCTGGGTTCAACTGTCATCCTCCTCCTCCTGCTCCTCCTCACTGGGCCTGCCTGGCTGGTGCAAACGGGGCACCCCAAAAGAGAGGAGCCCACCCCCATGGAACCACATGTCCTGTGCTCTCTCCCCGCTCCCAGGGCTGGGAATGCTGGCCAGCGTGTACACAGACGACTCTGAGAGGGGCAGTGCCATGGGCATCGCCCTGGGAGGCCTGGCCTTGGGCGTGCTGAGTAAGGACACCTTGATCCCAGTGGGATTTATGACAGCACCTCCACCCTGGATGTGCCCCTTCCCCGTGCCATGGGCTCGGCTGGATGTCCTGCTCCCTCCCCCTGCCCTTCCTCCGTGGGACCCGACACCTTCCAACCACATTTTCCCCCAAAAACACCCACCAGGGACTCGGAGGGGGCAGCTGGGGGCGGTGGCACTGCCCTGCTGTGACGCAGCCTCTCCCTTGCAGTCGGGGCGCCCTTCGGGAGCGTCATGTACGAATTCGCGGGGAAATCCTCTCCCTTCCTGGTGCTGGCATTCCTTGCCCTCTTGGATGGAGGTGAGAGGCCACATGGTTTACACCTGCCAAAAAAAACCCACCAAAAACCAACGTGTGAAAAGGTTTCAGTGTGGGTGTTCTGGGGAGGATCTGAGAGAAGGAAGAGCATGAACACAGGACGGTGACACCATCAGCACTGGTTGTTCTGTTAGTGCTGAATCCCATGGTTTCTATCTCCAGATGACTGACACAGCAATATGTAAGAATTAATCCCTCATTACTTAATGAACCCCCCAATTGCTTTCATGGCTTGAAAGGCACGTTCAGCAAAGCTCTCTGAGCTGTGAGTTCTTTGGCAAGGCCTCCCTGTCTGCAGCCTCTTCATGCCACGAAGGAATCAGACTTTGCCAGCATAAACGGTGTCCTGTGCTTCCTCCCATTGCTGTGTCAGAGATAAAGAGCCTTCCCAGTGCCACAGCAAAGTCACAGGCAGCAGGAATGTGCCTTTTCTGTGGGAAGTACTGAGCTAATTAAATTACAGTCCCAGTTACCATCTTTGCCCAGATGTGAGGCGAGATATCTGTAATGAAGCGTGTAAGAGCCTCTGAAAAACAAAATGTAGACCTCATACATACCAGACTTTCTGGTTTAATCCCATTCTTTTCCATATCCAATTCCTGTCATGCTCTGGTGGCCTCTCCCAGCTGGCAGCCAGGCGAGAGCATTTGCACTTTTGACTGTTCAGGGGTTGACAAAACCCTTCCAACACACTCCACTCCGGGCAGTTCTGGTGCTCCCTCCCACCTCCTGCCCTACCCCAGACACAGCTCCTGCATCCCTGGGGGTTCTGCTGGTGGAAGGGGTGGAGCTGAGGGAAAAGCCAGAGGGGAGAAGGAGGATTGAGGGGGTGTTCTCTCCCCAGCCCTGCAGCTGTGCATCCTGCAGCCCTCCAGGATCTGCCCGGAGGTGAGTACAGCCCTGGGCACCCCTGAGCGCTGCCAGGTGAGGGAGGGGGCAGTGCCCAGGGCCAGGTGAGGGCACACACAGCCCCCAGCCCACGAAACCCCCTTGGACACCCCGCAGAGCACCAAGGCCACCCCAATGTCCACCCTGCTGCGGGACCCCTACATCCTGGTGGCTGCAGGTAAAGGTGGAGGCTGGCACACGCTGAGCCCCTCTGAGTAAAGATTCCCTGCTTGAAACAGCAGCAAAAGTAAGGGCTCAAATGGAGCATTTCTGCCTTTTCTCCCCACCAGGAGCCCTCTGCTTCTCCAACATGGGGGTGGCCATGCTGGAGCCCACCCTGCCCATCTGGATGATGCAGACCATGTGCTCCCCGCAGTGGCAGCTCGGTAGGTCTTGTGCTTTGCAGCCTCCTCTCCTGAGCCTTGGGAGAGTTTAGAATCACGGGATCACTTGGGAAAGACCTCCCAGGTCACCGAGTCCAACCTGTGACCCGTCCCCGCCGTGTCAACCAGCCCGGAGCACCGAGTGCCACGTCCAGTTTTTTCTTGGACGCAGCTCCGGGGATCAAAGAACCACGTCCTGCTCGGGCACTGCGAGCTGGAGTGAAACGTCTTTTATATCATTCCAAAAAGAAAAAAAAGAAGAAGAAAACATATGACCTCACACATGGGGGGCCAGTGATCCCGGGCTGTGCTTTGCTCCAATTCCAGCTGGAAATTCCTCAGTGGCGGCTGCACGATGTGCCTTGCTCTGTTATTGAAAAAATTGCACGGAACCAGGCTCCCCACAAGGGCAATAACGGGGAGGAGAGGCTGTTTGGGAAGCCTGTGGAAGCCCATCTTCTGCAGGGCGGATAATGGGCTCGTGCTGGGCTGCAGTGGTGGAGGCCAGATGGGCTTCGCAGGGGCTGCTCCGAGTGAAACGAGGCCACTCAGGGTGTCCCAGGCAGGGCAGGGCAGGACCTGCTGCTTACCAGCTGCCTGGAAAATGGGATGTGGAGATAACACCGCCTGTGTTTGCTGCAGGAGTAAAAACTAATGGTTATAAAACCCAATTGGCGGAGGAACGACCCCGGGGGTGCCCCGGGCTGCACTTAGATCCCAAATTGGATTCTAGGCTGGGAGCAGGAGGGGGTGAGATTGCTCCTGATCAAATTATCCTCTGGGCAGGCAGGAACATCCATCCAGTAAAAGCAGATGATGCTTCTTTTGAGCAAGGATGGGTGAGGGGGGAGCAGCACCCAAAGATTCTGGTGGTGGGAAGAAGGGGCAGAACTCAGGGGAAAAGAACTCAGGGCTGCCCTGTCACCACTGAGCCCCAGGGGAACCTTTGAGGTGACTTAGAGTACCCAGAGGTCAGCAGACAGCAAAGAAAATCCCAAATACAGTCCCTAAGATGTTTGGGTACCTGAGATTCGAGAGCAGTTTGGATTTAGACACAGTCCAACGACAAACCACCACCTCACATGCTGTTCTGAGCCCAGGAGCCTTCTCTGTTTGTCTCCTTCAGTTCACCCACTCCCATAAAATCTGGGAAAACAACCCTGAAGAGCTTGGACTAAACCTGCAGGATTAACCATGTTCTGTAGCTCTTAGAGAGAGGAGAGAAAATTAAACACAAATCAGTGTGTTCCAATAAGGAAGTTGTCCCAGGGAAATGGAGCTGATCAGTTTTATTTATAGTCAGCGGGAGAGTATATGAAAAATAAACAACTGGTAAAGCAGCAGGCAGAGCAAATATTTAATTTTGAGCTGCATAATGATCCCCGAGCTTTTTACTTAAGCAGTTGTTTTATTCCTCTTTATTTAGCAGATGAAAAGCAGAAGGCAAAGGGGGAAAGGTGGAGGAGGGAGAAACTATGGCAGGAGGGTGTTCAGGTGCCTGGCCTGGCTCGGGACATTCTCCCAGTGAGGGAATGAAAACTGTGCAAATGCCCTGTGTTTTCTTGGGGGTGACACACTGTGTTCGATTCCTTCCCTCTCCCAGGGATGGCGTTCCTCCCCGCCAGCATATCCTACCTCGTGGGCACCAACCTCTTCGGGATCCTGGCCAACAGGATGGGGCGGTGAGTGGGACCAAACCGGAGGTTTTGGCTCAGCCCAGCCCGTCCCGGCTGGAATTTCAGCGGGAATGATGCCCATGGTGCCGTGCAGGCTGAGAACTCCTGCCCTCTCCTGCTGCAGGTGGCTGTGCTCCATGATCGGGATGGCTGTGGTGGGAGTCAGCCTCCTCTGTGTGAGTACCTGAGGGGCAATCCAAGGCCTCTCCAGAGGACAATCAGCGGGGACTGAGCCGGGCTCCGGCCCTGGCACGGAAAGATGGGCAGTGGTTGCGCCGGTGTGTCGGGTTTGGAGGTCTGAAAAAGCTTTTGCAGATCTTAAGGCTGAGAGAGTTGGGGTTGGTGAGCCTGGAAAAGGCTTTGGGGTGGCCAAATTGTGGCCCTCCAGTGCCTGAGGGAGCTGAAAGGAAAGATAGGGAGAGACTTTTTACAAGGGCCAGGGCGAGGGGGAATGGCCTCCCACTGACAGAGGGGAGGTTCAGATCAGAGAGTGGGAAGAAGTTCTGCCCTGTGAGGGTGGGGAGGCCCTGGCACAGGTTGCCCAGAGAAGCCGTGGC